AATTCTCGATAGTTTGAAGCTCTGTGTAAATCGAAAAAAAAAAAAAAAAAAAAACTGATCCCCTTCCCATGTTGAATTATCGGGACTCGACTAATGAAAAATTCTCCTTGAAAGAAATTCATTCTCAATAATTCTCGATAGTTTAAAGCTCTGTGTAAATCGAAAAAAAAAAATAAATAAATAAATAAATAAAAACTGATCCCCTTGCCATTTCGAGTTATCGGGACTCGACTGCATATTGCTCTTGCTTGCTATAAAAAGTTATTACAATGGGTTCTATGCATTCAAAAGCCAGCTACTCGAATGGGCTCTGGAAATGGGCAGATGAACGCAGACTCTTACAACCTGCAAACTCAGCAATAGATCAAGAGATTCCAGGGCTCAATTTAATGGTGATGGTGATCCAATACCAGTACATGTCTTCATAGTGCTACGAGCCTGAGAGTGTGAATTAATACACCTGACTCGGATGATGTTCAGTTAATATTGAATTTTACTCTTTTGAGTCTAAATAAAATAAATAAAATATAGAGTACATAATACTGAGTGTATAAGGCTCAGCATTGGTCTATTGTTTATTCTCAATATCTTGCTGAGGTTGTAAGGATCAGCGTTCATCGAACAAGCTTATTTATTAATATTTAAATATATTCAATATTGTATATAAATATTATACCAATATATGTCATATAGTCTTCCTTGTTGCGGACTAAAGATAAGACAAAAACTTCAAAAAAAAAAAAAAAAAAAAAACTTAACCAGCTTCAGCTGTTGTAAAAGTCTAGCTTAAATTTTCTGCTCATTTGAGATCAGGCGAAAGTCATCTCCATATGCCCTACCCTATAGATAAGGGCATTAGATAAGTTGCTCAACTTAAGTTACATAAGCTCGATTTCTAGAACTAAGCCAAATAAATCTTCAAATAAATCTGAAATCTTAGCTAAAACTCAATCAGCTCTGCGCATAGCCCAATCCACGTTTGGGCCAGGTTAAGATTGCTCTGCGCTTGGCTGCCCTCGCAGTGTCTGCAGGTCATACAACTGGCCATATTTCACTGCAGTTCTTCAGCTTCTTCAGCTTCATCGTCGTTTGCGTCTGCGTCTGCTGCTTCTTTGTTGTTGTCGCTTATGCTGTGTCACAATTTTCATCTTAATTAGAGTTTCAAATTCTTTTGTTGCCTCAAATAACCAGCTGCAGCGTCCACACATTCAACTTTAACCGCTCAGCGGGCGTGGCTGCCGCCTCCTGCTGTGCTCCAAGCTGTTGTTGTTGTTGTTGCTTTTGCATTGGTGGCCTTTAAGCTGCGTTGCTTGCATTATGCGTTTAACAAAAGGCTTAAACGAACGAGCGGCCCACACAAAATTTATGCTAATTTGTTTTTAATGCTTGTCGGATATACAGCTTAAGGCAGCAATAGAGGCAAGCAGGGGGCAGGGGGCGGTGGAGGAGGACGACGACGAAGAGGAGCAGCAGGAGTTGGCTATTTGCCGAAAAGGTAGGGAATGGGCAGCAGCAGCAGCAGCAGCAGTGGCTGGGCTAGTTGGCCTTTTGACCAAGAGCCAGCCACACATATGGAAAACAGCTACAACAACAGCAACAACAACAATTTGGCTAATAAAGCAAAAGCAACGCAATGCATTGGCCGCATTATTCAAGACGCGATGCGGCATCATTCATCGTTCGCAATTTCTAATATGTGCAGCGAATAAGCGAGGAGCACATAACTGTATAATAGCTGGAGAATGTAATGCGATTTATGTAGTTGAATTGCTGGATTCGACAAATGCAAAGGGAATTGAGGTGAAAAATAGTTCGAGATGAGGGAGACAGAGTGCGGGGGAGAGACAGAGAGTGAGAGAGAGATAAAGAGAGAAGGAGAGAGGTATGCTAAGAAAGGGAAATAGATAGAGATCAATTGGGTGATGGAGATAAAAATACAGGGAGAGAGAGACAGAGATTAAGGGAGATAGGGAGAGTACTTTCTGTATAAGAGGGGGAGTATTAGTCAGACAGAGGGAGTACGGGAAAGGGGAGAGAGAGAGAGAGAGAGAGAGAGAGAGAGAGAGATTGAAAGACAAACAGAGAAAAGTATGCGAGAAATTTAAGAGAAAGAGACACAGACGGGAACACAAGTGAGAGAGATGGAGGTGATATAAATGCATGGATAGGCATAGGAGACAAGAAAGACAAGAGAGCGAGAGAGAGAGAGGAATTCCATAAAGTAAACTAATTCTATATGGCTAACTCCTTGAGTCAATAATGATTTACATACACATGTGAATTGATTATGAGTGAGCATATTTGTATAAATATCGCATTTTATATTTTTTGATAGGTTTCCATACTGACATATTTAACAATAAAATGTACAGTTAATAATACAAAATGGCATTAAAATTAAAATTTGGTTTCAGTTTTGATAATTTAGTTTTATTAAATTAATTCATTAAATTATTAAATGTAAGTAAAATTAAATATACAAATTTAAATTTTAAGCTTGAGATATGATACACTTTAGAAAAATCATAATGTATAATGCGATTTGGATAAAGAAGCTAAGCTAAGAAGCTAAATAAACAATGAAAATCAAATAATATATTATATATACATATATATATATATGAAACTATATTTCGACTATTAAAAACCATTATTCAGTTCTTTAAAAAATCCAATCCATTCCATTAGCTTATTTAAGCTAAGTTAAGACATTTTTACTTCATAAAATTAAAGAAAGAAATTTCAGAGAATGAAATCTCAATATTTATATAAATTTGTTTTGATCGCGTTGAAATTATTGTTGCTATGTCAACTTACTCAGAGTCCTAATGCAATAAAGAAATTATAATATTTGAGCTGACAAATTTGAGCAAAAGAATGCAAATTGTATTACCAACTTTTATTCGAAATACAAAAAAAAAAAAGAAAAAGTGAAAAAGAAAAGTTTTGGAATTTGCATTACACAAAGGGAAATGCTGCGAAGGAAGAAGAGCAGTCAAAGGATGCCGAGTCATAATATTTATTATGTAATTTAATAATAATGCACTTACACACACACACACACACACAGACACAGACACACACACACAGTGCTGCAGTAACTGTGTGAGATTTTTGCAAGTGGCGACTGCGTAAAAAATGATTTAATTAATTAATTTTCATTAAAAAAGGACGACAGATAGCAAGTGGCGCAACCGTTGCCAGCTCGATGTCCTGCAACAGTGACAAAAACAACAACAACAACGACAACAACAACAACAGCAACAACAGACACAACTGTGAAGGAGCAGCTGTTGGCTGACTTCAACTTCAACTGCGACGGCAACTCCTGCTCAACTCCTGCTGCAACTCCTGCCTGGCGCCCCAGCTACAGGTACAGCTTCAGTTCTTTCGTCCTGTCCTGTCAGTCTGGCTGTCATTTACAATTTTAATCTCGTTGTTCAGTTTAGCTTAAGTTGGCAACAGGATAATGAGCACAAGGATAACGCATCTGTTTCGCTTCGCCTCCCTCCGCCTCCTTCCGCCACCGGCCACCCGCCATCCGCCGCCCCCTGCACCACTGCAGCGCTGCAACATGTCTGTAATTAAAGAGGCGTGGCGCCAGCCAGCAGATAGCGAGAAAAAAGCATACTACCTGCAGGACCTGCACCTGGACCGGAGTCGACTGGATACGCAGGCCAAGTTTTTTAAGCCAGCGAAAATTTTCATGGCTAATAAATCACTTTTAATATTAATAAAACATAAATCACAGCGACTAAAAACTTGACAAGGGCTCAAGACGTGAGCGGTGCGGGGGAGTGGCGGGTGGCAGTTGTGGTGCGGGCGCCGTTTATAGTTTGACTCTTTGTGTCAGCGAACAGCCAAGACAAAAAAAAAAAAAAAAAAATAAGAGAAAGAAACGCGAAAACTTTTTCGCACAGCCTTTGAAATTCGCGTGGCTGCAGACAAAACGATCTCTACAAGATGATCCAAAAGTTTTTGACTTTTCACTTTGCAAAGTGAAACTTTAATCTGTAGCCAGTGTTAGATTTAGTTAGAATCTCAATGCGTGCCAGATGAAAGGAGTCGAGAAGGAGGAGAAAAGGTGAGAGAGACAGAGAGAGAGAGAGAGAGAGAAAGAGAGAGATTGAGAGACAGCGAGATGGATAGAGAGAGAAATCTGTAAAGCCCTTCAACAGAGCTAGTGCGTAAATATAATCTGATACCAGTGTTGGGCAATGCAATTCGAATTTAGGCAAATGCCAGTTCAGAGGGGTCAAGTGATATGCGAGAGGGAGACAGAGAGAAACCTGGTAATTAGTTTCCCATAAAATACAAATTTAACATAAAATCAGAAACCTCTGTTGGCTAATGCAATCTGACACAAAATGAATAATAATAATAATAATGCAGTTAGCCAGCTAAAGGGATAATTATTTTATACATAACCTGCTCAATGAAATACTCAAAAAAAAATTAATTATCAATTTCATATAAATATCGAGTTGTATTATTATATTTGAGCTTATTATTAATATATTCATATATATAGATATATATAGTTTTCTTGTTTCTTACAAATTTTGGAATGTAACAAGAAAATTTAAAAAATAAAAAAGACAGCAATAATTTCTTGGATATTGAAATAGCTTTCTTCTCACTTTTAAAACTGATATATATGCTGTTTTAATTTTTTAAAGCCATTCCAGTCAAGAAGCCCAAATAGACTATAATGAAAGTATCATTAGGAATAGAAAAATAATAAGTATAGCCAGAGTAATAGTAAGATCTAAAGAAATTGCCATATTCCAGTCAAACTAATCAGTTCCAGCTCTCACAATCTCAAAATTGCTTTAATTAAATTCTGTTCCAACTCTACGTGATTATTCTTGAATTCAGTTTTTCAAAACCCACTCAAATGTCATTAAATTTCCACTTTGAAACACTAAAAAGCAAATACATTCGATTTCTCGCACAAAATTAGAATAGTTGATCTAAAAATAATACCGATTTTTAGTTACCTTTTCCGTGAATGCCACAGAGAAACTACAAATTTTTCCAGCACTTTTTTTTCTGTTCACTTACAACGTTAAATAATTTTTGGAAAAAAAAAAACACTTTGAAAAAACACTCAAAAAAATTATATATTTTAAACTGTGAGACTTTGCAACGTTTGCAACACTTGTCACTAATTCCCTTTAGCACACTTCTCTCTATCCTCTCATTTCTCTGTTATGTTTTGATAATATCAAAATTAATTTTCAAACATTTTGCAACGTTTTTGAAAACCTTTTCGTAACGGTCGCCGTGGAAGCGATTAACGGCTAACGACAAACTGTAAACGTCGAACGACAAACGGTAAACGATAAACGTCTAACGGCAATTCGCTCGTTTTTTTGCCGTTTCTGAAGTGAAGCTGGCAGAAGTGAAGAAATTTTGCTGGCGCTTGTTCTCACCGACCGACCGACGCGCTAGGAAGTTGTCCGAGCACTGAACGAGGCTCGCATTGGGCCAGCGAACAGCGAACAGGCTAAGAACAGCACAGGACCTAACACAACTCGCATGGCCTTCGGCCGGCCCAACGAGCCGCTGCCAAACGAAGCACACGAACTCCGCACGAGTCGCCTGAACTACTAAAGCCGACACGAACAGCAAAGCGAACTGCATTCGTTGGCCCGACGGGCAGCACGAGGGGCCCAGCAACAAATGTTGCCGGCTGCATGGCCACAAATGTTGCCAGCGCCTTCAAATGTTGCTAGGCTACATCGAAGACTCTGCGAATGAACTGGGTAGAGTAGCTGTCATAATTATATGCTAGAGCTCCTTGAAAATGGGTGACAAGCGAAAGTAGACGTGTTCGTGATGCTATAGAGCATTCCGTATACCCAATCAGGACAATGAACTCTTTAGATGTAGTCAAGTTCCATTTGTAACTGTCTTTGGGAGAAATTGTAGACGAGTTAATGCTTATAGACTTTGACCTGGAACTTATATACTATATGCTAGCGTATTCCTAGACAGTCTATCTATCAAGCCTTTATTCTGATTATATTCACTGTAGATTTGATAGATCTAGTATACAAGTACATAAGTCATCTAAGGACTAAGGAACTCTATCATTTTTGAAGGCTCCTAGACTTCTATATCTTATATCATAGTTTATATATGATAAACCTAGTGACACGATGTTGAGAGCAATCTCTCACCATACGAAAATCTCTATAAGAAATGTCAAAGCCCCATCCATATATAGAGTGATATTATGATCTATTTTTAAGAGTAAAAACACAATGCTTTGATGCGGCTGAACAGGTTCTCTGCTAGGCTCTGCGATCGATCCAGCATAACCACATTACCTTTTAGCGTAACATGTTTCAATTAAGTTTCGCACATGTCGAAGTGCGAGACGAACCAGCAAAGTTCAAAGCTAAGTTTCGACTGCTGTCGCCATCAAAATATAATTAAAAACGCTGCACTTAACTAAAATAGAGGATATATGCGCTCAAATACCCTCTACACTAAATCAAGTATAAATATACCAATGGTATTATTCCAAATATTTTATTTGATAGACAAGTTTCAAATTGATGTGTTTCAGAACTACTCCGAAATTTGCGTTAGAATGTCTAAAACAGTTTTCGGTATTATCCATAGAGCTTTAACACTATGGCTAATGAAAGTATTGTATAGACTGGGAAGGAGAGAAATTGTCTTATATAGTCCTATATATATATAAGCTTTTATTTATTCATACATTTACAAACCTTTCCCAGCTGCCCATATACCCTCTAGCTGTCATATATTTCCAGGTTCGAGTGTTTTATAGTTGCGGCTTTTGCAATCAAAGACACTTTGCACCAGGCACTAAAACAAATCCCTCCCCCCCCTCCCCTTCCACCCTCTTGCCTGTTCGCCCTTAACAATCCATTTAGCTGTAACCCGTTCCTTTTCATAGTACTTATTCAGTGCATCTTTCAGCACATCACTTACACAAATCAAATAGACCAATAGACCCTGTCCCTTCGCCTCCTGCCCTTACCCATTTTCGTGTGTGGTAGAGCGCTTTGGCAGCTTCTTCAAAATGAAACTCAGTGGCGTCGCAGTCGCGGTCGACGTCGCTGCTAGCTGCGCTGCCTTTTATGAAATGAACACGAAAATGTTGCGTCAGTGCAAAAGAAGGCAGCGCATCATATATATGGGTATCCAAAAATCCAGCAGCCCAAGAAGCTGGCTGCCCTCTTTCGGCACTCACTTTCATGCTTCATAAGTAAAATTCATTTGCCACGCCCCTCCTCCCGCCGGCCCTTCCGCCCCACCACGGGCAATGCTGCCTCTCCGCAGGCTGCGTTGATTTTAATGAAATGTCATCAACTTTGAGGTGTTTATTGCGCTGACAAGAAGACAAGAGCCCAGAGGGGGCAGCAGGAGGCGGGAGCAGGAGACGGGCGAGGCAACCCTTTGAGACAGCCCCAGAAGCAACGAGGCAGCAAGACAGCAAATTTCCCAAAGCATTTATCGAAGTGGAAATACACTAATATATACTAATATAAAATGTATTCATATGTATATAGTATGTATGTATTTAGATTGTGTTACGTATAAAACACAATCTAGCTCCGATTTCTCGACATTTGGTGTAAAGGGAGCTTAGACCAAGCCAAGCTGCATGAGCCACAACAAGTATCTTAAGCGTAGGGTATCAAAATAATCTTTGAGTCTTAATGTCAGCCCACGCACAGCTTACTCGAGCAGACTGAGACGGTGGCTAGGTAAAGGGCTCCTGGCGGCGGCAGGAGGCTGGGATCAGGTGTCTGCTCTGCGGGCTGGCAAAACATTTTCATGTATCATAAATTGTCAAACACTTAAAAAGTGATTACGTGTGCGACAACCCCAGCCGGAATCGGTATATCAATTTATAGACACCACACTCTACAGGCCCTGGAGCGGGTGCTCGAGAGGGGGGTTAGGCTCAACTATGTAGCTGGGGTTAGTTAGTTAGCACTTTAGATAAACAAATTTTGTGCAAGTTGTTAGCTTTAACGATGACTCATTAATTTTGTAGAGTTAACACGCGTTGTCTTTTATTTATAGTCTCCTGTTTATATCCCTTGCTTGAAGCGCTGTGTTTGCCGAGCCCTAAATTTCATATCAGACTCGAGCCCCCGTTTGACTGGAATTCATATACACGCAACATACAACTACATACATATGGGATGTTGTATGTATATCCTAAATTTCAAATTCGAATTCCCCTCCAAGTCCCCAAAGAAGACAACAAAAGCTTCATTTATTGTTTTTTCCTGCGCTTACCAAAACTTTTGTAACGAGTTGTTGTTGCTTTGTCTCCTTGTGACACAAATTCACAATGCATTGCAGCAACAATTGTGAACTGAATTGTGAAATTAATGACAGCCATAGAGAAACCATTAGAAAAACCAACTTTGTCTGCTCATTTCCTTTTATAGGCAGCCATTTTCAGTCAGACCTTAAAGCTGTGGATTTGATGTGGATTATCTAAGTAGTCTTCATTCGGATTCCGATTCTTTTTCTTTTTCTGTTTCTCCTTCAATTTCGTTGTCATAGTCATCGTCATTGTCATTGTCATTGTCATTGTCATTGTCATTGTCATTGTCATTGTCATTGTCATTGTCATTGTCATTGTCATTGTCATTGTCATTGTCATTGTCATTGTCATGGTCATTGTCATTGTCATTGTCATTGTCATTGTCATTGTCATTGTCATTGTCATTGTCATTGTCATTGTCATTGTCATTGTCATTGTCATTGTCATTGTCATTGTCATTGTCATTGTCATTGTCATTTTCATTGTCATTGTCATTGTCATTGTCATTGTCATTGTCATTGTCATTGTCATTGTCATTGTCATTGTCATTGTCATTGTCATTGTCATTGTCATTGTCATTGTCATTTTCAGTGTCATTGTCATTGTCATTATCATTGTCATCATTCAAATCTGCTGCACACAAAATTCTCACATCATATGCAGCAAATCCAGTCGAGTTCATTGTAATTACATTTTAAATAATTATAATTAAAAAGGAACTTGAATGTACCACTCAGCTCAAGTGTGTCTTTCCACAACACTGCAACATTGTTTGCTTTACGTCCCAGTACTTAAACTCCCCTTCACATCAACACACACCGAGGAAGCCCCACTCTTCGTCCATGCGTTCAGTAGTTTTGTTTGCCAGCTTTTTGGTGTTGTTCGACAAATCGCTACAAAATGTAACTACTTAACAGCGTCAACAATGCCCCAACAACTGGGCTGAGGAGGCGTAGTAGGTCTTAGAGGGGGGCTTCGATTGTCTGGCGGGCTGGCGGGCGTTCGGTCAGCCTGGCAAATTAAGGAATTTTCAGTGCAAACACAAACACAAAGCGAAAAAGCTGCAAGTCACGCAACAATCATTTGCCCCAGGAGGGAGCCAAAAAGGGGGCTGACTGGGCCTGAACGAGCTGCACAGTGCACCTACTCCCACCTAGAGCTAAACAGCTCCAGTGCCCAAGCCCAATCCCAAGCCCAGCGCCAGGTCCAACTTCAATTGACGTCGCGTCGCATCGCATGTCCATCAATGAAAATATATGTTCAACAACGCGACGTTCCCGGGCAAAGCGAGCACCCCAAGCCCCCCAATGGGCGTCCGCTACTTTATTATTTCTTATTGAATAATTATGGCTCATTTGGGGGCGCGAGTTGCCAGTGGGCGTGGCAGCGATAACATCACAAATGGCCGCAAGCGCCGGGCACTGAATGGGCCAAGCGTCAATCGTCACCAGCCCAGGGCTGGAGGCCGCGTAAAAGTGTGGGGCGGGGTCGGGCCGCGTCGTGGGGGTCGGTCGTGTACGCTTCACGTGCTTATCTCGTTTCCGTTGCTTCATTTAAAAGTTAATGACTGCTTTCAGTGCCCAGCTGCGCAGGACGTGCCACCCGGACCACACAGAGGACATGACCAGGGCCCGAGTTCCAGTTCACAAAACTCATCCAACTGGCCCCAACTTCCCATTCAGTTGCTCTCAGCATTGACATTGGTTCGGGCCTTTGGCATGTCACCAGACAGCTAAATTGATTAGCTTTTCACAAAAAATAAATGCAAAAAAAAAAAAAAAAAAAAATTTGAGTAAATAAATAAAAAAATACTCTAAAATGATTTGTAAAAAAATATCGTTGCATACATTTGGGGCGCTGCGAGCAGGAATTTCGTGTTCGCTTTTCGGCGAGTTTTGCATTGCTGCTGCTCTACTTTTAGGCTTCAATTGGCTATCAGCTAGCTGAAAATGGATAATTGTAAATGGAAAATGAGCTCTAGAGAAGAAAGTTGAAGGAATTTGGTAAGCTAGGAATGGATACGAGCTTCTCTCGTCTAGAAAAAGTTTTAAGTTCCTCTAAGAGCTCTTTTTAGATAATTTCTTATATCATATACGTACGAAGTCTAGGAAGT